GCGCCCAGGGCGGCTGGAAAGGAGGGGGTTGAGTGGGTGCGTGGCTGTGGGCCAGCCCAGGGCTGCCAGCGTGGGGCGTTTCAGGCCCCAGCGTGGCTCTTTTCCATGTTCCGCTGTCCCATGCGCTGCGTGGCCGGGGAGCTCCCGAATCTGGTGTGAATTCCTTGAAAAGAAAGAAAACTACAGGAACGCACCTTCGCTGGCCGAGCCAGCGTTAGCAGCAAGCTCTGTGGGCAGCCTGCAAGATTTACAACCCACGCAGGTGAGGCAAGGACCTGGACATGGCCTGTCTTTCAGCCCCTTTGGGGTTACGAAGCCGGATTTGGAGCTGCCAAGGGGTGCCCAGCGCTCCCGGAGACGAGTTTCCCCGCCCTGGGAAGACGGTTTGAAGAGCGGGTTCAAAGCTACCCGCCTCTGAGGGGCTTCTCCTCGCAGGGCAGGAGGGCCTTGCTGCTGCTTTGCTACCGACGCGTTCGGTCGGCTGAATGCAGGCAGCTGGCCCCAAAATATCCAACAAACCATTTTTTGTTGGGAAAACGCCGTTTCATCAAATTTGCTTTTTTACAGGGCCAGGCTGTGTGCTGCGGGAGCTGGTCCCCGCTGCACAAAGCTCTCGCTCTTCCCGAGCCGACGGGAGCTGGGGAGGTAAATACCGAGGGTTTATCAAAAAGCACTTTCAGGAACAGAGCGATAACCGTATTTGTAGCGCGGCTCCCTTTTGTGCTGGAGGTGCTTTCTGCACAGGCGTGCGCTGGGAAGCGTCTCTGCCCTCCGGGGACAAGGCAGCCGGAGGAAGACAGAGGAAAGAAAGAGAAAATCCTTTGCCCTGAATCATTCAGCTGGCAGCCTGGGAAGGACGTGGAGTTTTTCTCTCCCTTATTCCTAAGTTTCAGTAAAGGAGGAGGCTGGAAGCTGAAGTTTGGTTCCTCCCCGTGTAGCGGGTGACCCTTGGTTACAGCATCTTCCAGCTCCCGGTCTCAGTTTCCCCACATAAGATAATCACTCCCTGCAGCCAGAAACTCTTCTTTGCACGGTCAAAGAACAGTAAAAGAATAAAGCACAGGTTTATCTCTTATTTCTTGATATTTGAGGTGTGGTCTCAGCTCAGGAGAGGGAACTGGGGGTCAGTCGTGTGAGGTAACGGAGGGCATTGAAATCCCTGGCTTGGCTGTATGCGGTGTCAGAAGGGTGTCTAGGACAGCACCGTTCCAGCAAGCCCGTGCAAAGTTTGTATCCGTGAAATTACGTGCCTTTGAACTGCGTGCACGCGCGGCCGGCACACACGCACCCCGAAGACCGTCCGCAAGCTCCTAGCTGCTCCTGACTGTTTATTTTACAGACCACCCTCCTCAAACTTTGAAGTAGATTTAAATAACAGCAACAAAATCATATGCCCGGTATAAATCTTTAATCAGAACATGTTTGTTCCCCCCTCGGAGCCTGCACTGCTGTGTACAATCAGAACGCAAATCAAAAGAAAGCAGAGTAAATTATTCATTGGGAATCTATTTCTGCTTTCCCTACATGGGAGACCCGGCGGCAGAGTTCGGGGGTGAGCGGCTGGGGGCGGGCTATTAAATTCACTCAAATAAGTGGAGCTGCAGCCACAGCGCCGA